AGAAGAACTAACTCAAAAGCAAAAAGTAATTAAACCTTATCGAGAACTTTATCGGGTTTAGATATTAGTAGTCTTTTTGTTGGTTGTTTTGCTTGAATAATTGTTTGATATTTGGTTGTCTTATAGTTTTATAATGGATTAATTAATTGCTTATAAAAACCTTTCTTTCTCCCTATCTTCCCCCTTTTAAAAAAAAGTAGCAAAAAAAAATTATTTTCAGCTTTCAACCACTTTGTAGGACTTTAGCCGACTTTTTTTGCTTTTTAACTCTGTTTTTTAAGAAAAAAACTAAAAGGTAAAGATTATAAACTTTTTTAAAAAAAAATGCTAACAAAAACTTTCATTTTTAAGGGATTTTTGCCTTTTTTAGAAGGGTAAAATGGGAAATTTTTCTTTGGTTCTTTCTTTTTGGAGGGGTTGGGGGTTGATTATTAGACTAACCTTAGCCGCAAAAAAAAGTTTCCTTTTGCGACCGAGAAGTAGACTCGCTTACTGGAACAAGATATTATTTCTCCCCCTTATTCGACTCCGGTAAAATACTCTTATTTTGTTTCATAATCATTCAAGCCAAGGCCACTAAACTACCCAGAGTTAAAATTCCCAAGGCTCAATTTAAATAATTAGCACTGTTTTTACTGCCGATTTCCTTGTCTAACTTTTCCTGAAAAGCCTGTTTTTGTAAAGAAGATAATTCTTGGTAAGAAGTAGCCTTTTCTAATTTAGCACAGGATTGAGCGGTTAAGCCTAATTCTTGACTAATTTTAATTACTTCTTCTTTAACTCCTTTGCTAATTGGTAAATCTTTCAAAGTTTTGGGAGCCTTTAAATTAGTTATTTGTTCTTGTAATTCACTAATTTTACTATCTTTGCCCGGACATTTATCACAAGCAGGAGGAGTTAATTTAGACTTGATTTCCGTAATTACTGCTTCTAATGCTCTCTCTCTCTCTGTGGTTAGGCCTAAATCGGTAATGATTTTGTTAATGATTTCTTTTTCTTTTTCGGCTTGGGCTGATTGTTTTTCTAATTCCCAACTTTCTTCTTTTTTGGTTAATTTTTCTTTTTCGTCAGCTAGGGCTTGTTTAATGTCGTCATAATCAGAATGAGAGCAAGGAACGGAATTGAGAAGGTTAGTTAAGTCATCATCACTAACTTTACCACTTAGTTTAGTGTGGATACGTTGATATTCGGCACTTTCTCCCTTAATGGCGTCGTAATTAGCATGGGTATTCGGACAATGAGTTTGAGGACAAGGAGGGCAAGTGTGAGGAGTAAGCAATTGGGCTAAGGTTTTACCATTGAGGTTGTAAGTGGCATTAGTGGTAATAGTGGCTAAATCGCCAGGGTTTAAGCCCAAGTGAGTTTCAGCGTTAGTAATGGTTGTTGCCGAATTTTTGTAGTTTTGTAGTGCGATGTTATTAACTTTATATGTTCAATCATAACCGAATGCATTAGGTTTATGGGGGGCTTTTAAATTTCTTAAAACAACATTAGGCAACCCATTAGTATTATCAGTAATCTGTCTGTATAAATCATTTTCATATAACAAATCTGACAAATCCTTACTAACTGGAATATCAGTTAATTTGCCCTTTTGGCTGGGTATTTTTTTATTGATAAATTGTTTTCATTGAGGAATTGGATTACCATCAACCAGAATATTATTTCCCGCAGCATCAGTGGCTAATGTGTCGTCAGTAGGGTCAACACCGATTTTAGTTCTATAAACATTCACTAATTCAGCAAACTGTTTGTCTAAATCAGCAAAAGCATTTCCTAAAACTCTACCATAATTTTCAGCACCAGTTAATAGTTGTGCAGGAACAGGTTGACCTGCTTTAGCATAAACATCTCGACATACATTTTTTCCAAAAACATCTATTCTTTCTCATTCTTCTAAACCATTTATTGTTTCGGCTCAATTAGTTCCTGCCTCAAGCATGGCAGGGTCAAGTGAAAAAGCATTTATTGAGTCATTTATTTTATTTATTCAAAAGTTTTTAATTCTTTGATGTGTCATATTATTTTAATGAAGTTTTATAGTGTTTTTTTTTTTTGTTTAAAAAAGACCAGTTATCCAGGATTATTTTTTTTAGAAAAAGCCAAGGTTCTAGGAGTTATTTTCAAAGTTTTTTTATTCTTTAAGAATAAAAAAACAAAATTTCCCAAGCATTCAGGAAGTAAAAACACAGTTATCCAGGAGTATTATTTTTTGAAAATTCTAGGTTCTAAGAACTACAATAGAAAATTTTCCTGGATACCAATAATTAGAAAAAATTATTAAATATGCCAACCTTAAATCTCAAAAATATCACTATCAAAAAATTAGAGGACAAAAACTTTAACACTTACTACCTAATTGTCAATAATGACAACCAAGACGAAGCCTTTTTTTGTTTTGAAAAAACTGTTAAAGATGGATGGAATGATTTAGTAAGCAATTGAGAAAGTATTAAGGAAGTAGAGATAGAATTTGAGGAGCAGGAAAAAGACTTTAAAACTTACCGCAAAGTAGTTAGTTTTTATTCTCCTGAAAGCGAGGAAATTATTGTTTAATGAGTTTACTAATTAGTGGCTTAAAATTACCATTAAAATTATTAGTTAATTTAGTAAGTAATAAACGAAAAAAAACCAAAACAGAACAAGAGAAAAAACAGTTAGAACATGTGCGAAATTTTGACCCTACTCGTTTAAATAATCAGAGTTGACAAAAACGATCAGGCAAAAAACTAACCAAAAAACAAAGAAAACACTATCAAAAGAAACGAAACAAGACTAAAATCAACTAAAATCATAATATAATATGACTAACAACGTCCAACAAGAACATATTAATCAACTTACTAATAAAGGCAAAATTAAATATTTAGATATTAGTAATCGGGATTTAAGTGGTGATGTTGATTTAAAAGAATTCACAGCCTTAACTAGCCTTAATTCTTATAATAACAAATTTGAAAACTTGGACTTTTTAAATACTTTACCTAATAAAGACCAATTAAAGAAAATTAACTTTTTTGGAAATCAGATAAAGGAGATAGATTTAGCCGAAATATTGACAAATTTTCCTAATTTGGAATACCTAAATTGTGAAAATAACCCGTTAAGTGCGAAAAACTTGGAAAATTTGACTAGTGAACAATTTGGTAAATTAGTTCAAGGAATTAAGGACAAGAAAATCAAAATTAACTCTTGAAAAGGCACTATTTTAATGGATTTGTTGGAATATGCTCAGAAATTAGTGGCCAAGGGAGATAATAACCAATCTCAGAACGCTCAATATTTACAAACTCTTATTCAGCAAGGAAGTTCGCCAGTTAAACCAAATGATAAGCAGTCTGGCAATAATACCCCACTTTTAGTAGGTGGATTAGTTATTTTTGGTGTTTCGGCTCTGGTGATTGGTTATTGATGGGGTAAAAGAAAAAATGAAGTAAAAGAGGAATAAAATTATAATATATAGTTGTCTGTTTAAGGAACCTAGTAGGTGAATGGTGTTGGAAAATGCCGATTACCTACCAAGTAGCCTATTAGGCTCCTTAAATATTCAACAAAAAAATGGTAGTCGGCAATTACCAGGAAGTAGAATTATACACTACTCCTGAAAAAAAATCTAAACACAACAAGCATAAAAATCCTAATTATCACCAGGATTATTACCTAAAAAATAGGCAAAAATTACTTCTTAAAAGAAAAAACCGCCACTCACAAACTTACCAAAAAAAGCCTCCCAAATCTCCTTCTTTATTCTTAAAAACTCGACAAAAAAACCTCCTCTCCTGTCTAAACAAACACCACATAACTATCCCCGTTCCTCGTTTTTTAAAAGTCAAACATCCAATAATTAAGGGCTGGAATTCTCCTAATTGGTGAGGTAAAGAAAATATTCAGCAATTATTAAACAAAGGCTGGAATTACTTCACCTTATTAAACAAAGAAAACTCTTACCAAGGAGTCCGTATCGGTTGCCTTGACATTGACGAAAAAGGCTGAACCAAGATACCAACTAAATATTGGTGCTGTTATATTAGTGCGGGCAATGGCAGAATTAAAGTGCTTTTTCTTTACCGAGACACTTACAACTTAAAAACCAGCAAAGGCTATTTTCAAGGAAAACAAATTTTAGACTTTAAAATATCAGGAGGAATAATGGGAATAGGCAGTATTCACCCAAATGGTAATCCTTACCAGTTAAAAGGAGCGGGGAGTTTCTTTTTACAGAATAATAAGATTTTCAATTCCCCTTATGAAGTAGCCGAATTATTAAGGCAAGATTGAGGAATTGAAATATTAAGTAGTAGAGAGCAATTTATTAAGCAAAAAGAACAAAAAAACACTCAACAAGAGCAAGCAATTGAAAGTTTATTTATTCCCAAAATGGGACCACCAGAAAGTTATGGTGGGAAGTTTAGGAATAATTTTTCCAAAATAGGTAATTACTAGGGGAGATTTACACTTTTTTCTAGTAAGCACTTATTTTGGGAGAAGTTAAAATCCACTTAAAATAACTTCTCCGAAAACCCGAACATTAAAGATAATGATAAATTGGGAACCTGATTAGAAATAATTCTAACACAGGAGAGCATGGTAAACAATCAAAAGTTTATCATGGTGCTAATGAAAAACAGCACTAGGGGTTGCTAGGAATACCCAATTACAATCCTAGCCATGGAAGGCTTCCATGCCCTACATATTAATTTTATAGTATTTTATAGTTAAGAGTAGATAACATGGAAGTGGGGGGCATACAGACACTTCTTACTGAAAGTTGTTCAACACCATTTTATTTATTTTTAACAAAAAAACCATAGTGTTATCTCTTAATAACCACTGAATAAAGTCCATAAGCATTAGTTAAAACTTGGCTAAACTTTATTCAAACTAAAACCTGGCAGAACTAGTTTTTAAGGTTAATTGCTCCTCTGGGCAATTTGTCTCATCACGTTTCATCCATTTGGTCTAAAACTATTGCTTCCGTTTACAACTGTTAAAAAAACTTACTAACTTTTTCCTAATTTGGTTGAATTCCAAAAAAAAGTTTGCTATATAAAATTATAATATACTTGAAAAACCACCCAAAGATAAATGACCAAACCCGAATCTACAAAAGAAAAAAATAATCCTATCCGAGGTATAGTCAAAAAAGTTAAAGATTTTGTCTCCCCTGTCCGCAAGTCTACATATCATCGAGTAAAAAAAGAAAGAAATGAATTATTAAAAAACAGAAACCAAGACAACCCCAACTTAACCGAGCAAGGTCAGTCAATTATCCCCCCCCCCCCCCCCCCCCCCACATTACTTATAAATCTTAGTAGCATTAACAACACGCACCGAGGAAGGGAAGAAGATAATTCTCTTTTCCAAGAAGGGCGAGAAGAAATTATTGCTTCTAACGAAAGCGAAGATAATCAAGGTGAGAATAACGAATGACCTGATACCCCCGCCACTTTAATCGGAACTGACAACGGTGAAGGTAGTTATTTTTACTCTTCTTATAATCCTGATTTAATCAATCAAAGAGACCACAAAATTGCTAAATTAGAAAAAAAATTAATCGTATTAGAAAGCCAATGACGAAGGCAATATCAAAAATTAGACGAAAAAGACAGTGAAATTAGTGATTTACAATCAGAAATAAAGGAAATTGAACAGTTTGCTAAACAGGTTGAAAATGCTTATCAAGCCAAAATTAATGATTTAGAAGCACGTTTGGCTCAGCAACAAAAGAGTCCCGGCCACAAAAATAACAATCCCAACCAAAGGTACCAATATGATAATCTGCTGAACGAAATAGAAGACAATTATCAAGTAATTGAGGAATTAATTAAAAAATTAGAACACGAGGAAGAAAAAGTAAAACTTTTACAAAACAAAATCCAAACTTTAAGGGCGGAGAAAAAAAATCTCCAAGACCAATTAAATAATCGCTCCCAACCAAAACCACCTAAAAGAATTAACAAAAAGGCTTTATTTCTTGGGGCAGGTCTGGCCATTGCTGAATTAACCAACAATTATTACAATCCTGGTTATTCCTCTACTAGTCAATTGAGCCTTCTTAATAATTCAACCAACAATTCTCTTAATCTTAACTGAACTAATCACCCTACTCCAGTCTGGGGAAACGTTCTTGACAACTGAAATTCAGTATCCAGTCTGCAACTCCACCAATTTAACCAACTAGAGTATAATTATCAAGTAGCCCAAGAAAAAATTATCAATTTAAAATGACAAATCGCTAATCTAAAAGCCAACAATCAGACCAAGACAGCAACCATTACTGAAACTTTACCCCCTCAAACTTCCATTATCAACCACACTGAAACTATTACTCCCTTACCAGTAGTTTTACCACAAAAAACCACTACTATTACCAAAAATCGTCCAGTTAAGACTAAAACCAGAACTATCACTAAAACGGATACAATTACGGAAACTCCCCCGACTTCAACCAGCACTGAAATCCTAACCAAGACGGAAACCAGCACCCAGCAGGAAACAGTAACCAAAACCGAAAAAGAAACCACAACAGTTACTCCCCCTCCAGTAACTTTACCTCCTAAAATTCAAAAAGTAACCGTTACAGAAACCCCTCCTGTCGAAACTATAACTCCTCCCGCTCCAACTAAAACAGTTAAAGAAACTGAAACAACCACCCAAACTGC